TCATTCTTTCCCCGAGTGTTTAAAGGCCGCCTGTGAGCCAGGCGTTGAGCAGGTACAGGGCGGTCATGAGCCAGCCTGGGGAAGATGCATATGCGCAAGTGAGGTGCTAAATGTGCGTTCAAGGAAGATGCACTCACATCACCTCTGCCCTGCAAGGCCAGGCGGGAGCTGGTCAGAGCTGGTCCTGGGGCTGGATGGGATGGTGCTTCGGGTAACAGAACTTCCCGCTGGTAATAGACCTGCTGCTCTCGGCCAATTGGCACAGAGGACCAGGCTGTCAGGCCTACGGGACGCTCTCCACAGCAGATATGTGAGCCGTTAGCAATCCCTCAAAGGAAGGTTAAAGGGAGCAGCACAAGGCTGGCCTGAGAGGAGGCGGACACCCGTGCCGTGTGACTCACGTTCGGTAGGAGGGATGCAGAAGCAGAGGGGTTTGAGGAGCCTCGGAGCCAGCTTTATCCCTTCCTGGGTGGCCTTCTTAAAGGTTCTTCTAACCCCCGCCTGTATCATCTTTGCCTCCGTTTCCACGAATGTTGAGCACCGTGTCTTATTTTTTCCTTCTGCCTGCACTGGGTCCTCCTGCAGTGCCGGCTCTCTTAGTTGTCCTCAGACATGTGGGATCTTAGTTCCCAGACCAGGGATGGAACTCATGTCCCCTGCATTGGAAGGCAGATTCTTAACCACTGGACCACCAGGGAAGCCCCTGTTGTGTCTGTTTCCTGTTGTTAGGATGTTCAGATCATAGGGGCAGTTCTTTCTCTTCCCTGGCAAATGAGGCCAGTCACCACGGCACCTAGCACTAGGCCTCCTTTAGCATCTTGACCTCTTCTATTTGATTTTCTGCTATATTTTCACACTGACATGTTAAAGTACCATTTACTAACACACTTTTGAAAAATGTCCCCAGTGCTGTGTTTATAGTTCTAGAACCCCAGCAAGCAGCTTGAACAGATAATGCTTTTCTTGGTCTTAACACAGCTTCTGGAAAACATGACAGAAGTGGTTCGGAAAGGAATCCAGGAAGCTCAGGTTCAGCTGCAGAAGGCAAATGAGGAGCGGCTTCTGGAAGAGGTGAGGCTCCAGGCTGGGCCCCCGGCTGGACTCGGGCTGGGAGCTGGCCTCCAGACGATGGCCTTGAGCAACGGCTGTGTTTGCAGGGGGTGTTACGGCAGATCCCTGTGGTCGGATCCGTGCTGAACTGGTTTTCTCCAGTACAGGCGTCACAAAAAGGAAGGACGTTCAACCTGACGGCAGGTAGGCCTACCTTCCTGCCGCTCTCTCGCATCTTGAGTGTTTGGCCAGGTGTCCCGGGATGAGGAGCCATGTCTGCGTCCCAGGCTTCACACCAGGCGCTGGGCCGGGACCTGAGAGGAGGCGAGGTTTGTCTGCCTGGGACTCTCATCCTCCTCTCCTGTCCCGGCGGCTGGAGCAGCACAGAGGCACGTGCCCGTGCCCCCGCAGACTCCCCTTCCTGGGGTCTGAGCCCACGCAGCGGTCCGTTCAGACCAGTGTTAATATTCTTTGCAGCTCTCATTAGTGTTTCGCCACCGTCAAGGGCTGCTTTTGCATGGGGCAGGTGAAAGGCTGTGGTCTGTAGCCATTTTAGTTCAAACAGCGAGTATTCCCAGCTGCTGGGATTTGGGGGAGAGGACACTGAACTGCAGGCTCCTCGTTCCCTGCTTTGCCAGTGGAGTAGGCTCTCGAAACCTGCGCCCTTCCCCAGGAAATGACGGCTATACGGTCGCAGGGCAGCAGGGGACAACCTGACTCTCAACCCGCCAGGCCTCAGCCTTTAGCCAAGAGGCGTCCGCTCCTTGTTGCTAAAGGACATTCCCACCAGGGCCTGGCTCTCCAGGCACGCTCAGGCCACCCTGCAGGGTGGCTGCTTTCACACGCACACAGGACGGCTGGGGGGACAAGGCTGGAACACCCCACGGGGCCAGCACTCATGGCTCAGCCGCCAGCAGCTGGCTCAGGGGAGCTGGAGCCTCGGCAGGAAGCGCATGGGAACGAGGCTGATGGGCCTCCGCCTGCGCTGGGCACTCACCCCACACCTCCCCCGCCTTCCTGCAGGCTCCCTGGAGTCCACGGAACACACATACGTCTACAAAGTGCAAGGCTCGGGGGTCACACCGCCTCAGACCCCGACAGGCACTCGCACTAAACAGAGGCTCCCAGGTACGTCAGTCTCCATGCCTGAGCTCACTGCCACTGAAGAAAGGTGTTCGTATTTCCCTGGGGAAAAGACCCTGGCCTCACATAACGCTTTTATGACCTGCATTCCTCTGTCTTCTTGGGTCTTCAACCAGTTCTATTTTTCTCCATCTAAGAACAGCGGTCCCTGCCCCTGGGCTTCCCAGGTGGCGCTAGTGGTAAAGAACCCACTTGCCAGTGCAGGAGACTTAAGAGACATGGGTTCGATCCCTGGGTCAGGAAGGTCCCCTGGAGGAGGGAATGACAACCCACTCCAGTGTTCTTGCATGGGAAATTCCAAGGACGGAGGAGCCTGGCGGCCTACAGTCCATGGGGTCGCCGAGTCAGACCTGACTGAAGTGACAGTGCACACGCACGCCCCTGCCCCTTCGGCCGTTCCTGAGCCTTGGGGAGCCACCTGTGGAGCATCACGCTCCGCCTGCGTCCACTCCTCTGAGCTTCTCCCATCTGGGCTTCCCCCAAAGTCCCCGGCGCTGGGGGCATGTTAGTGTCACATCAGCTCTCATTTCTCGCCTCATCACTTCATGCTTCAGAGCCAGGGACCCCTGGGACTTCTGCTGTGATTAAATGCAGATCCTTAGAGCACAGCTGGCTTCTGCCGCAGGGGTGCCCTTTCCTGAACCGTGAGTGCTGTTCATTGATCTTCCTCTAGGCCAAAAGCCTTTTAAAAGGTCCCTGCGTGGTTCGGATGCCATCAGCGAGACCAGCTCAGTCAGTCACATCGAAGACTTAGAGAAGACGGAGCAACTGTCGGGGGGGCAAGAGGCCTCAGAGGCTAACAGCCCCGAGCGGCACCCAGGGGCGCCCGCCCCTCCGGAAGCCGAGCCGCCTGGAGCCCTCCAGGACGGGGCCCAGGGCCTGCAAGGTGACCACCCGCAGGTAGAAGAGCCAGAGAGCTTAAGATAAAACTCAGTGTTTCCTTGGAGACTGTACTGAATATTGTTTCAGGGAAGATGAAGTTATTCTGAAAATGTGAACTGTGCCACATGCTGATAGGACAGAAATTACTGTTATTTGTGCTTAACTGGGATGGTTGCACAAATATGTGCCTGAGAGTCAGGCCTCTGGGATGGCAGTTGATGTGTCTGATTTTGTGGGTGTTGAAGAACAACCAACACCTTCTGTTTCTGTCTACCCAGCTATAGTAATACCATTTCCCCCCCAGTTACCTTAAACATTTTTTATTCACAGAAACATTAGAATTTCAAGTGCCTGCCACTTGAAATACTTGCGCTTCTCTTTCTAAACAGACACATGTAAGACGTTATAAGGTTGTACATAGTACGTTCTTGTGAGACAGCTTTCTAGAACTCTCTGGGTTCCCTGGGGCCCTGCTGCAGACGGCGATCTCTGCCATCTGTCTTACTTGGTGTTTAGTTGGATCAGGTCGCAGTATGCAGCTGGATTGTCTGGCTTAAGGAGTAGGCACGTTGGGGTTGTAAACAGGAGCATCAGAAGCCCCCTCCAGCACCCCCACTGCTGCTGCCCCCGAGACGTCAGTCAGGGCCGTGTCCACTCACGCGGTGGCAGGTCAGGTTGGACCCGGCACTGCTTCTGTCTGACTCGCTCTGCCGCCAGTCCATGTCTCCCTTTATATGCTATTTGTAAACAAATTAAAGGACTCCTCTATTCAGAGTAACTGTAAAGACTCTTCTCAAGCGTATTATATATATATATATATGTCTATTTTTAAATACTGGTAAAGCTTTTAAATTGGCACAGAAGTACAGACTGTACTCATTTCTATTTCTACGTTTAATATCTGAAAACTCCACAGATGCTGCTCTTAAGAGCCTCATATTAAACATGCTGTGTAGCACCTCGTTATGTTGAAACTCTAAATTTAAAAGTCCACCTCTGACCTGTTCTCACGGGAGCTTCTGGAGCGTCTGTTCATAGCAGCTCAGCCCTTTGGGCCCAACTCAGAAACAAGATCCAGAGGGGCAGTCTTAGGCTGATCAGGCCAGACGACTGCTGAAATAACTGAAGTAAACCCTTAACTACTGCCCGTCTCTAAGCAGTGCGTCACTTCCTTTCTCATCGGCAGCGGCCCCTGTGCCTTTGAAGTCCAGCAGTCAAGCTATGGGAGACCCTAAGATGGTGGCAGTTCACATGGGCTTTGGGGACTGTCGACTTGAAAGCCTTAGTTATGCCATATTAAGCCTATAACTACATTCTGATTTGATGTGATTTCTGACATTTGGCACTTGTCAAAGCGCAGTTTTCCTTTCCTTTTTTCCTGGTGCAAATGATTAAATAAGTCTTCCCTGTTTCTTTGGTGCGATGAAGTATAGCAGATAAAACGGGGGAAGGGGAAATTATCACCTTTAACAAGATTAATTTTTAAATGTTTTTATATATATTTGAAATTGTTAAATTGGTTTTGCTGAAACAGAATTTCACCCTTGAGATACTATTTGAATGTTGGTTTCAATAAAGGTTCTTGAAATTGTTCCCAGTAGCTCACTTCATAAATCTTAGCATTAATTGGGCACGGTGACTTCCTTTTGGATAGCAACTTCAAAATAAAGGTTTCTAAAAATACATAATATCAGGTTTGATTTGATGCTTCTAAAGTATTTTGAGGTTAAGAAAAATCTGAGATATATAAATTCTCGCCTAATTTTACTGCATTTTAAACAGACTGACAATTTTTCCTTTATTCACTAATTTAGCAGAATTAGGAAGACTTACCCAAGTATCTGAAATAGTTGCTTATAGAATACTGAAAAAGCCAGCTTCTCCTATGGCCTCTTAATACTAACCAAGAAGAAAACCTAAACAAATGCCTTTGCCAAAATAAGATTTTATTTTAAAGTCATCTGAAAAACACTGAGTAAGGAGAGATACCTAAGACTCAATAGGTAAAGATTCCAAGTTCACATTCTTCCCTGCCCCCGCCAGTGGTCTTTTGTTGTGTCAGAGAGGTGCTTTCTTTGGTAATTCCTATTTTTAGCTTCTGGGGGAAGAGATCTTTTCCCATAAGCCATCTTCATTTTTTTTGTAGAGTAGAGCCTTGTTCCCAGGAAACAGTGTGTTAGCTGGAGAAGGGTGTTTCTTTAAAAACATCAACGTAGATCTAATATGTTCAACAAAGTGGGGGGGTTCAGCCAGGGGTGACGTGGAAAGGTTCTGGAAAAACAAGATTTGGGGTGTGAGAGGAGAACCTGCTCTGTTCCCTACTTTGATAAAACTGTCGAGAGTGTCTCTGTGCTCATTACACATTCATCAGGCTGTTCTCAGATCACTGTATAAATATATATAATTTGTAAAGTTACATAAGACACAGGTGTCCTGGGTTAACGAGAACAAAGCAGATGGCTGCCTGTTGCTCTGCTGCGTAGACATCTACCCAGGATCCACTCACCCCGACTGACATCAGGAGCAGCTCAGCAGGGTCTGCGGGTGGCACCCTCCACAGACACGGTAGGGAAAGCTGCTGCTATCTCGTCTACACGCTCTTCTTCGACAGATGAGGAAACCAGGGACCAGAGAGGTGCCCAGCCTATAGACGCTCACCTCTAGTATCTGCTTATCCTCTTGCTGCAACCAGAAATCCACGTGGGGAAACGGTGTCCAGGAATATGGTCCTATACGAAGTTGCTCTGTCTTTGCATCGTAAATGCTAATCATCTAAAAAAAGAACATTTCAGGGGCAGAATTTAAGGAGTGTTATCGGCAGAAACACCACCTTTAATGCAAGCTCCCTTGTCGTCTTGAACTTAAGGCATTTATCTGATAGAGAAGCTTCTTTCAAGTTTTGTCTCACCAAAACAACCTGCCACTTAACTACTTCCCACCAGTCTGGTCCTGCACTTTGTGGGCAACGGACATCATTTTGTTTAGTTCTGACAACAATCCTGCAGGAAGGTGGTGGTTCTCCATTTTGGTTGGAGACGTGAGACTCAGACAGATGGGCCTGCTGCCCAAAGTCACGTGTCTGTAAGCGTCAGGGCTGGGCTGCAGACCCCGCGTGTCTGACCCAAGGCCATGCCCCTCGCTGCCTCCTTGTTCACACCCCTAGTCATCTTGGAGCTTAAAACCACACATGCCTGTTGCCCCCTCAAAAGAAGGGAAAAGCCAATTGGTAAAAATTTGCCAAATGATCAATTCCCTGAATTCTCAAATGTGCCAATGGTAGTTTCCAGCTTAACCAGCAATGTTCAGTTTTGGTTACTGAGACTAAAATATGTCCTGAATCTTAGCTAAATCAAGACTGCTCTGCTTCCTGAGAGATGGAGAAAGGAAATGTAACAATGTCAAAGGGTTGGCAAAACAGACCATTGGGTCCAGACGTTTCCAGTGAAAATGGCAGTTTTTCCTAAGCAAGCAGACTTCTTTTGGGTGCTCTGATGCGATTTGTTTTTTTTTCACACTACACGTTTTTAAAGGATTTTTTCACCCGTTCCTCAAACAGTGTGTCTTATTTTTTTTTCCTAACTTTTAAAATGAAGGTGTTAGTTAACTAAAAAGACCCAAAGGCAATCAGACTTTTAAACTGATCTGATTATTCTTTGGGATCATCAATTCATCCCAGCAAACTGCTTTCCAGTGACCTCGTCCGGGGACAACGTGACCTGCAGTACAGAAGAGAGAAACCTCTTCTCCCCGCTTAGCTCTCCTTTCTTTGCAGTAACTTCACTGGTAAAGTTCTTACAAAGTACAAGGGGTTCATTTTGTTTGGATCTGGATGCGGGGGAGATTCACATACATCCCCAACATCTTCAGGGCGGAGAACCGGGGTCTTGCACTTGTAACCTGAAACATTCCTCTTCTCTACGTGCTGTGAGTGTGTGGTGGTTCCTGATCATGGGCAGCTTTCCAGAAGCCATCAGAAAGTTTTCATTTCCAAGGTGGATAAAGCTCAAGGCTTTGGAGTTTGATGCCTCCCGTTTCCCTTCACCCTGTAACACAAGATGCTGTCGGACTTACTGGTCCTCCTGTTAAAGCTCGGGCGGCCCGCAGCTCCTCCTCTGGACCTCGGTCTTGGAAGGAGGCTCTGTAGATCTCCGCAGTTTTGACGTTGACAGCTATTGAGGGACGACAGGACGACTCCAATTGGCAAAAGCCACAGGGGCTGGTAAGTCTCACACTCATACCATCACCCGTGATAAGACTGAACAAAGTTACGTGTCAGTAGTCTCTCCCTTTCTGGGAAGGGAGAATGCAACCCTTTGGCCAGGCATCTCACTGAGAAGTGCTGAGGCCCGAGCTGGACTCGGTAAGACCTGGTTCCAGACCAAAGGCCACCCCCACCCAGGAGACGCGCCATCTCTTCAGGCAGCCCGTGGCAAGGCCTCCCTGCTCAGCCCTGTGACAAGGAAGACAAGCCTGGACAAGACAAGGCTGTAAACATGGCCTGGGATCGGCACCAAGGTTGGTGGTATGTGTTGGTTATGACTATTTCTGACATAAAAAGTACAGAGAATAAAGCAGTGAACACCCTGCCAGATAAACCGAATGTTATGGATGTGGCAGAAGCCCTCTGTAGAGACAGCCAGTCTCAGGACTTCCCTGGCGGTACAGTGGTTAAGAATCTGCCTTCCAATGCAGGGCACTCGGGCTCAATCCCTGGTCAGGGAACCAAGACCCCACACGCAGCAGGGCAGCGAGGCCCTCAGCTGAAGTGCTGAGCTCAGGTGCCTCAACGAGAGGAGCCCAGGCACCGCAGGAAAACTCCTGTGTGCCACCGCTGAGACCCAGTGCAGCCAAATAAATCCTTAAAGACAGAGCCAGTCCCAGCCTAAGGCCTCGGGAGTGCCTGGGGCCGTCACGGGAGGAAGGGACACTCTGGGTTTTCTTTAGCCTGATGGTTTCACTTTGCTTTGTAGGCGCTCTGCTCTCTATCAGAACCGTAATTAGTTCCCTGAGTATAAGATTCAAATCGCCCCATTCCAGCCCCCAGAGCTCTGGCTCGAGGAAAAAAGCAGAGGGGCCTCTGGGGGGAGCAGAGACCACTGGCAGTGTGCTGTCCCCTAACTGGCCGAAGCCCGAGCTTTATATTTGCTACCTTGTTCCCCTTCAGTCTAGGATGTGGACATTTTTTCTCTCATAGATACAAAGTCAGAGAAGGTAAGCTCCTTGCCCAGGCGCGCCCAGCAGGTCCAGAGAGGAGTCAGGACCTGGGCCCAAGGCGCTGCCACACTCACAGCCACGGGCCCACCAGCTGCAGAGTTGGCCTTTAACCAGACGAGAGCACAGACCCTCCGCCCAACACGCTACTTACCAATGCCGTAAATTACTGGGAAGTGGCTTTCATTTTCCTCCCGGTCATTTAATTCTAACACATTAAAAAAAAAAAAGGAATTTTAAGATCTAGTTTTAAAGAAATACTAAATAATTGTTTTCATTTTCTATGAACAGAGGCCAAGAAGGAGCCCCCGCTGCCTGCAAAGGCGGGGGATCAGAACATGAAAGGGTCTGTGTCCCCGTTTCCCAGCTGAGCCCCGGGGCGGTCAGCTTATAGGAACAAACTGCCCCTCCAAAGTCCGAGCTGCCGGCCACCCACATGCGTGGCGGCAGCTCTTCTCCCAGGAAATGGAAGAGGCTACTGAGAATCCTGAGGAGGTCAGAGGAAAGCCCTCAGGGGTGGGGGGTCAGGATCTCAGTGGAGGCTGCGCGGGGTCTGGATGTGGGAGGGCAGCGAAGGCCATGCCAGCAGATATGAGAAGAGCCGGAAGAGGGCAGCAAGCCAACGACACCTGCTGTCTGCGACTGAGGCACAGACGCTGGGCCTGCCTTCAGGGCGAGGGCAAAACGTCCCCCAAAGCTACAGCTTTGCTCCAGGGAGGATGGCGGAGCTTACCTGTCACACACAGTGTCACCAAATGAATGTCATCTTCTTGTCTGTCAAATTCACCTACAATTAGAATTTTAAAACTGATGTCAAAAAGTTCCCTTAAGCAGCCGAGCATACGCTGAGCAAGTAAAGAGGGGGATGGAGCATAGGAACCACCACCCTTAGACCACAGTCTGGCCTGTCCATCGGAGGCGGAGACCCGTGAGTGGACGCCCAGCACCCTGCCTGCCGAGGGCCAGATGTGCTCCCAGCATCAGGCCCAGAGAAAACTTCCACCGAGACTTTCCTTTCTTCTCCCTATTCTGAGAGGCTGGCGGGACAAACCGAGTCATAAGATTTTAACCTTTTCCTAAAGAACATTTTTTTCCTGATTATGGGTCATAAAAAAAATTTGACCATTATGAAACATTTGGAAAATACAGAAGGGCACAAGGAGTATGTGGGTTTTGAAGGTGTAGGTGCAGGGGCTTTTCCTGCCGACAATCCTAGCACTTAACAGTTAGTGTATTTCTTGCCATGTTGTCCATGCACAGCTGAGCTCAGACACCATGTAGACAGTTTCACATCCTGATTGTTTGTACCTGTTATTTTCCCACGCAATTCAAACCTCTTCATTAAATATTTTTTAATGGCATGTATAACTATGCCCCTACTAATGGACATTAGATTATTTCCTGTTGTAAATAATCTTCTACTGCCCACCTTCGGGTGTAAGTCTCTACGCACATTTCAGATTAATTTTCTGAGAAAAGATTCTCAAAAGAGAAATTACTGGGTCTGCGATGGACCATGATGCCAAAAGGCTTTTCTGACAGGTTCCACCAAAGGTTCCACCAAAGTACTGCAGGGACACACCCACCTTGCTGCTTCATGGTTAATTACAGAACAACGTCGTTTTTTCTCATGGTAGTATTTGCTAATTTAACAAAGAAAAAATAGTATTATCAGGGTTTTAACTTTCTGCAGATTAACATGAACATTTCTGCAGGAGGGTGGTTTTTTCCACACAATTCACAGGCTTACTGTGAGGCATCACCTGCTGTTTTGAGGGGAACCTTGTCCCCATCCCGTGAGCTCTAAACGTTTAGCTCTTTGCCCTCCGGTGTTTATGGAAGATTCCGAGCTGAGCAGTTTGGGTGGCTCCCAGCAGGTGCGCCCCTCATAGGTTCTGTACTAATTGGGATTTTCATTTAAGCAAAAATAGGTACACATTTTTATCAGATCTGAGGAGAAAAGTGAACTTACTAAGGAGCTGATGAGTCAGTTTCTGTGACAACTGCCTGTCGTCATTGAAGCCTCCCACGAGGTGCGCTTCCAGCCTGGCAAAGAGACGGGAGGGGGTGCTCAGAGGTGGGACGGCTTGGCCCGGCAGGCCTGGGTCTGCCCTGAGCCTCAGCTCCCAGCTCCCGGCCCCATTCAGGCCATGGCGCATGCACTGGGGCTCTGCCCGGGGGCCCAGGGGTGCTGTGTCTCAAACACGATGCCACCAGGAGGCAAGAGTAAGAAAGGCTGATCTGGAAGGTGATGATCACATCACACTACTCACCCGCCCTGAGCGGGACACTTCAGAAACCTCTTAGAAGTCTCGGCCTGACTGAGGGTGACCCCTGAGGACCCGGGGTGCAGGGACGGGACTGATCGGGCCCCGTACGGGCACATCTCCACCACCAGGAGGCCAGCATCTTGGAGAGACGAGGGTCTCCTCTCCGTTTTACAGAGAAGGAAACTGGGTCGGCGTCTGAAGCACATGCTTATCTATGACACCAGCTTTTTCCTCAGTGCCTCCCCCTGAACACTGGCCACATGAAACAGAAAAGTGTTCTTGGGGTTAAATAAGTTTGGGAGGCCTCGCCCATTCCCAGGGGAGCCACCACGCAGAGCAGCAGAGCAAAGCTCCAGGAAACCCTGTAACTGGAAAAACCGCATCACCTCTGTTAACCCTGTGTTTCCCACGCTCACTTCTCTGCTAACCTGTCCTCGGCCTGTGACAACCTGGGGACCCGAGCTCAACAGAGGCCACCTTTCACACTCCCTCAGCTGAGACAGCACCCTCCCGAGGAAGGCCCCAGAATCTTGCGCGTCAGCAGCTGAGCGCGAAGCATCTGGTGGCCTCGACTCCCCTCTCTCACACCGTGTGCTGAGAACCACGGCCCTGGGCACCAGCCCAGCCACCTAACCTGCCAGACTCAGCATCTTGACAGCACACGAGGTCGAGGCTGGCCCAGCCCGTCAGACCCCACAGGGGGAGAGTTAAACTTAAAAACTGATCTGTGTTCCACTAGGGAAACCGTGATGGCGAGGAGGCCTTCCTTAAGTCCCTGGGATTTGAAGAACATGTGTATGACTAGACTAGTTCATCCCAGTGAACTGCTGCCCCAGACTTCAAATAAGATGACAGCCATGTCTGCCAGGCCTGGCGATGGGAGAGAAAGGGGAGGCGACAGCTGGGCTGGGATAGCGGGAGCTCCTTAACGAGCCATGTGGCTCCTGAGAGCCCATCCCGGGGCCGCACGTGGGAAACAGGTGAGCACGCTCTCCGTCACTGGTGAGCAGGCGGGCGCCAGCTCTCGAGCACAGTCTGCAACACTGACCCTCTTCGTTCCCACCTTCCTTCTCCTCACAGCCCACCCGCTCCTTTACATCCTGTCTTGCTGACGTCCCCTCCCAGTGGACTGTGAGCCCCCGGGGGGCAGGGCTTTGCCTCCTCCATTCACAGGCCCCTGGCACCTGGCACTGGTTCACAGGAAACGGTCAACAAACAACTCCCGAGCAAAGGGGGAGAGTCCGCTGCTGGGCCTGAGGAAAGGGGGAGAGTCCGCTGCTGGGCTGTCGCAGGCATCGGCTGACACACAGGCCTCGAGAACATCAGATACAACTCCAAGTCCAGCCTCAGACCCGCCTTCCGGGACCGGCCCGAGGCCCGGCGCCCGCTCTCCCCGAGCAGCGGCTGAGGGGAGGGCGGACACACGGCAGCGTCCTCTGCACGACGGGGCCAAGCTCCCCACATCACGCGACGCAGGAGCGGGGCTCTCACCTTCCACATCGAGTGTGGTCGGAAAAGGATTTTATGGCGTTCATAATCAAGGGGACCTCAGCTTTGGTGTCGCTTCCGTCACAGTGGGTCAAGCAGGTAGCCCCATTACCTGAAGAACAAGGGTGAAACGACTCATGTTATTCCCGATGAGAACTCGGGCCGCAGCCCAGGTCTACGCCTGTCCATTTGGACCACCTCATCTTTGAACAGCCTGCAAGAAGGAAAAACAGAGACGTCTGGGCTGCCCAGCCAACCCATCTGACCAGGGCCTCGGGGAGGGGCCATGCAGATGGAGGAGAGGTGAGCGGAGCCAGGAAACGCAAATAGAGACGCTCATGGGCCCACACGGTGGGTCCAGGTAAGGAACCGTTTCCTGCGTGTCTCTCGTCATACCTGTGTGCCTCAGGACCACAATGTGACAAGTGGTGGCATCATCAGAACCCAGAATGGAGATGGAGCCTGTTTAAAAAAGAAATAAAATAAAATATCCACTAGCCTTTGGGGAGAAGGCCCAATTCACTGGTTCCTAACCTACCATCCTTTGGGGAGGTCACTGCAAGCTCTCTTTGCTGAACATACAGAAGGCCCTGGGGTCCCACTTGTTGAACAGACTGACCTCTGAGAAGTCTGGCTCTTTCCTGTTTAATTAAAAAAAAATAAAAAATAGTGATGGAAATTAGTGAGGCTTGAGTAACTAGATAGGTGGAGAGAGCCAAAGTGTGCCCTAGGTGGAAACACACCCTCGTGAGGTCTGAGGTGTGTGTATTATCTGACAGAAAGGCTAAATAAAAATGCAGTGGGATAAATAAAAACACTACCATGTAGAACAATGAAGAAAGCAAGGAAGTTCTGGGGGTTTTTTGCCCTAGAGAACAACACATTCTAAAACCTATGAAATAAGAGGCAAAGATCCTTTTCCACAATTCTTTGCAACTATAAAGAGAATCAGATCAGATGGACTAGTGGAGTGATAGTTCAGAAATTACAGCCCTTCTTCACTTTCTTTAAAGATGAGGATGGGTCCAAGCCTTCCCTATGCTCCAACCTAGTAACCCCCCCTCTGGAAACCCGTACTGTGGAAATAACCTCAAATGCCAACGCGCTTATCCCTGTGTTACTGAGAATGTCATGAAGCTGGGGACGACAACAGAAAAGTAAGCAAATTATGCAGAACCGGCTCACAACTGTTAACTGCACAGTCACAAAAAATGAAGACTACAGGAAAGGAGTTTTGAGAAATGTAAAACTGAAGAGCGAGACACAAGAGTGGGAAAAAAAAATTTAAGCTGTAAATATGCTATTAGTATAACAATGCTAAAAATGTTACTACATATAGGGGAAAATACTGGAAGGAAATCCACCAATATAACCACGATGGTGCTGGAACAAGGCCAAGGCCCGTCATTTAACTGTCCCAGCTGTCCTTCCTCTATTCTCCAAATGCCCTATGAGGTAATTATGCTATTAAAGTAGAAACCAGGGGACTTTCCTGGTGGCCCAGTGTTAGGACACTGAGCATCCCATGCTGGGGGCACGGGTTTGATCCCTGGTTAGGGAACTTAAGATTCTACAAGCCACATGGCATGGCAAAAAAAAAAGCTAAAGTAGAAAACCAAAAAGGAGAACTCAAAACTAAGCAAATTAATGAAAAGGTAGGATAATATTAGGTGTCTACTGAGTCTCTGTATAAATTCTTATGTAGTAAATCTGGAGCAGGGAAAACTCAGGTGGCCAGTTAATTCTCTGCTCAGTCACGTCTGACTTTGCAATCCCAGAACTGTACTCCACCAGGCTCCTCTGTCCATGGGACTTCCCAGGCAAAAATACTGGAGTGGGCTGCCATTCCCTTCTCCAGGGGGTCTTCCTGACCCAGAGATCAAACCCGGATTGCCTGCATTGCAGGCAGATTCTTTACTATCTGAGCCACCAGGGAAGCCCAATTAATTCTTTAATGAGAATTAAACTTTTCTTTTTAAAAAATGTCAAATGGATGCATCACTAAAATGTATCCTAATTTCCTTCTTACTTACAACAAGTAAACTCCTCAATAAACAATTTCCTAACCACGTGTACAAATACCGAGCATGTAGGTACTTGTCTAGACCGGGAACATTTTTATAGACTTATACTGGCTGCTGGCCATTCCTCACAGCTGGGGCTAATTTCGGTTAGTGCTGGCTTACTGCAGAACAAAATAAAGAGATAGAAGAGAACATGACAATCCATTTGATGAGTTATAGAGAGTTCTCTTCTAATAAACTTCCACTAATTAGAAGCAAGGCAGCAGTTACAGTGAGGAACGACAGTGAGAAATAGTGAGGAATCACTTCAGACAGGATTAAATTGGGGATTAGCAGATGCAAACTATTACATACAGAATGGATAAACAATAAGGTCCTAATTGTATGTAGCACAGGGAACCAGTCAATATCCTGTAATAAACGATAATGGAAAAGAATATGAGAAAGAGTATAAATAAATAAAACTGAATCACTGCAATACAGCAGAAATTAACACATCACAAATTTACTATATGTCAATTTAAAATATTTTTCTAAAAAGAGAGGAACTAAGGACTGAATGAAGTGCAGGGTGCAATCCGATGGCCGAGTCAGGGAGAAAGAAATGCAGCCGATTGTGCAAAAACTCACCACACCTCAGAGCAGTGAGCGCTCTTTCCTTTTCATACCACTTCTCACCTCAATTCAAGGTAAGATAAAGAAGACTGCAGAATTTCCTTTTTTTTTTTTTTCTTAAATCATTCCTTTAAGACTCACCTCTTTTGGTTGTCTCGGGGAGAGGGAGGGAGGAGTCAAGGCAAATTTTTACCGCTCCCTTTCACAACTGGGTCACCACCCAAAAGCAAAGCTATTTCTGAGAAATGAATTATCGCTTGTGTACCTAAGAACCCCAAATCACAACATCCCTGATCGACACAGCTCCTACTGTTTGCCAGAGAAACAGAAGCGCACGTGACCGGGAGAGAGGACGGCCTGAAACGGGAAACAGCTACACTGCTTTGGTCCATCACTTTCAAAAAGGAAAAGAAGATCAGCTAAAGTTCTCCTCTGAGCAAAAACACACAGTCCTACTATATGAACTCGTATCCTTTCTGAAATAAAAGCAGCATCAGGCTTCTCAAGTTTTTTTAATGTTCTGAACACTCAGATTCACACACACACAAACCCAAACCTTTCCCTCAGTCTCCCCGCTACTGCTCATCCTCATTTCCCAGTTCCTGTCTGAGGGCACTGTCCTCTCGTCCCCGGGGTCAGCGTACTTGTTTCAGAAAAGGGCCAGACAGCAAATAGCTTAGCAGACCGTGCGGTCTCAGTGCCTCAGTGTGAAATCAACAAAGAACACGTGACAAGTGGCCGTGTCCCCAGAAAATATTTATGAGTGACACTGAACACTGAATTTCACGAGACTTCATGTGTCACGAAATGACTTCATGTTTCACGTGTCAGGAAGCATTCTTTTCTTTCCCCCATCGTTTAAAAATGTAAAAACCACTCTGGGCTGGTGGGTCATCCACCAACAGAATGTGGCCCGTGGCTGTAGCTGACTGATCCCTGGGTTCACCCATCACTGAGGTGCACCCCAGAGGACGACTAAGTCCCCTCACCCCTCTGCCAGACTCTGTCCGTTCTTCCTTCAAAAGCGGGAAAGCGAGTGCAAAAGCACTGCCCGGCCCAGCCCTGGGCCTGAGCCTTCTTCCCGCCACAGGCCCTACCTCACCTCCGTTCCGTCTTCCTCATGCCTGCTGTTGTAGTTGTTTACTCCCTCAGTTGTGTCTGACTCTTTGCGACCCCGTGGACTGTAGCCCGCCAGGCTCCTCTGTCCATGGGATTTCCCAGCAAGAACACTGGGGTGGGCAGCCATTTCCTCCTCCAGGGGATCTTCCTGAGCCAGGGCTCGAAGCCACATCTCCTGCACTGGCAGGTGGCTTCTTTACTGCTGAGCCACCTGGGAAGCCCAAGAGATGGGAGCACCATGATCCTCTGGCCAAGAATAGAGCCGGGGTCTCCTGGGTGGGAGGTGAGAATTCTACCACTGGATCCCATGCCCCTCTCACCTCAGTGCCCCAGCGCAAGGTACAAAGTTCGACAATGCTGGGGCGCGGGGGGCGCCCTCTCTGTCCTGGAGCGAGTGACCTGGGCAGAGCCTGGGCCCCTGTGCTTCATCCCGTCCTCTGGGAAGCGAGGCCACTGCTGAGGCTGTGGGAGGATGAACTGGGAGCAGACCTGCAGGGAGCGGCTGTCCCTACTCCCCACCTCTGCTCCCCGATCCTGACCCCGAGGTCTCCCCTACCCACTCCATCCTCCCGATGGCTGCCCGCATCCTTGCTTCAAAACACTGGTTCCGTTACAGGGCTTTTCTGCTCAAAAAGCCCTTCCATGGGATAATTACAGGGGTTTATAAAGATTCAGCTCTGTGAATGTTCCTAAAGGGGAAAGAGCAGAAATGTCTCGCATGCTTAAAAGCAGGAACTACGTTATGCGGAATTCCATGGGACCATTAAGTCTTAAGACGCTGTGGGACCGGATTCTGAGCATCCAGAGACTGGTAAGAGCGGAGGCTCTGGGCCGCACCGTCCGAAGGCGCTCTCTGCGGGGATGGCACCTGCATCTGCACCTGCCCTGCCTCATCCTGCAGCCGCTGTCACTTATGACTGTTGAGCACTTGAAACGTGGCTACTGTGACTGCGTGTGTGCTCATGTCACTTCAGTTGTGTCCGACTCTGCGACCCCATGGACTGTAGCCCGCCAGGCTCCTCTGTACACAGGATTCTCCAGGCCAGAATACTGGGGTGGGTTGCCATGCCATCCTCCTCCAGGGGATCTTCCCGACCCAGCCGTCGAACCCGCATCTCCTGCGTCTCCTGCACTGCAGGTGGATTCTTTAACCACTGAGCCACTTGGGAAGCCCAGTGTGACTGAGGAGCTGATTTTTTAATTTCATTGAATTTTAACTAAATGTAAACTGCCACCTGTGGCCAGTGGCTACCATACTGAGCAGCGCTGCTCTAGAGGCAAAGGCAAACCCGCCAGGGTTCACCTCCCGCAGCATGTGAAACCTTGGGCAACTTCCTCCACCCTCCGTGCCTCAGAGTCCCCAGCTGTAAAACGGGAACAGCAGCAGCACCTGCCTCCTAGGGCTGGGATGCTTGGCGAGCTCCACAGCACTGCTATTACTGCTGCTGCTGTTATTATTATCCTATGCTAAACATAGATGTGGACGGGCTAGTAACTGCTGCTACTGCATACTTACAACCTACTGCCGCAGGAAAAAAGACCCCTTATAGAACTGGACATACAGCACTCGATCATGTAAAAAAGTGCGTCATATACAAAGAAAAACCTCTGTAAGGATAGTCACCAAAGTGTGAAGCATGGTTGTGGTCACAGATTTCTTTTTTCTTCTTTTTGAGACTTCTATTTTCTTACCAAGGGGATACTACTTGCTATTAAACAAATAATAATTAAACCTTTCATTTCTCTAAACTGCGTGTCAGCTGAATGACCCATCTAAACCTCTGCAACCTAAGTATGACCCACCTCTCCCGGCTTACCTCCCATTCTGCCCTCCTGCCCTCTGTGCAGGGAAACCACCCAGGTCACCCGCCCTCGGAGCCCCTCCTGCCCCGCCCCGGGGCCAGGGGGCACAGTCCAGTTGGTCCAGTTGCCTCCCCTCTCCCCTTAGGCCGCTGCATGTGGAAGGGACCGCCCGCCCCAGCCACATTCCTGTGAGGCACACGGGTCCCCACTGCACAGCCTTTCTAGGCCGAGTCTCCCCAGAGGCCAAACCTCCCTTCTAGGGGTTCCTGGTATCTCACCTCATTCCCCTTCTCTCCACACTCAGGGTGCTGCCCTGGACTAACTTTCATAGAAACTTTCTAACAGACGTAAAAATAGAGTGTCACTACGTTCTTTAGGCAGCTGCCACTTTTCCCCTTCGTGAGTCCCAGTCCCAACTTCCGCCGTTAATGGTGTGGCAGTGACACAGCATAAGGCAGGAACGTGCTTGACACGGTGACTAGCGTCTGCTCGTGCCCAGTACGTGCTGGCTGGTATTACTACGGCTTTCCTGAGGTGTAAGTGGAGAATCACACAGAGCTGTCCCCTCTTCCCTGGTCAGTAACATCGCCTCATCTTTCGGGGGTCGTTCTGCTCACTCGTTTGTGAAGCACATATTTACAAAGCACAGATTCACTGCCAGGGTCTGCCCTAGGCTCTGAGGATACAAAGGGAAGACACATACTCTGCCTTCAGGAAGCTTACATTCTCGTGGGGGGAGGTGGAGATCAAGGGAAAATAAACAAAACAAGCCTGCTGGACAAAATCATTACACACCACCCAAATGGTACAGAAGAAACCTCGAGAATATCTTTCCTAAGCCCACAGACTTGGCCAGGTTCCTGGGCTTCACTTTGCAGAGCGAAAAGGGGCATTTTCCCTTGTATGTCACTTAATTAACAGTTATGGTGTTTGAGCCACTCTGTGGCTAAAAACCATAAAAAACATCCCCGCCCTACACATACCCTGACTGTAAGGAAAGAGGTAAAAGCCATCACCAAGGCACATGAGGGGCTCAGCGGGCATTTCTCAAATTCATGAAATGGGTTGAACTGGGTCTGGGGCAAGTGGGAGTTTTGGTTCTGGTTTTTTGTTTTTTTTTTTTTACAGTAAGAACCGTTTTTCAAACAGTCTCTGCTCTTGCATGGAATAAGGGTTCACAGGTCTATCTAAGGACAAAAGCAGGAAACAAAACAAAAAAACCTTCCAT